CCTAGCTGTGCTGCAGGAATGGGCTCCTTGCTGTGCTGCAGGAATGGGCTCCTAACTGTGCTGCAGGAATGGGCTCCTTGCTGTGCTGCAGGAATGGGCTCCTAACTGTGCTGCAGGAATGGGCTCCTAACTGTGCTGACATCACGGTAAACTGAAAGACTTATCACTAAAGCCCCACGAAAGTGTTTATTAACAAATAGCAAAATGTTACTTTTCTTAAATACTCACTGTAATGTAAAATAAATACAAAAACAATAATACTGAAAACATGGATAAAAGTAAATCTTCGTCCAGCTTTGCTTTCAGTTGCTATAATAGTTGTACGGTATGTTTTTTACTTGGATGAAAGGGGAAGCATTCCACTTACTGTAATTAAACGAAGATGTTGGCTGAACATTCCCTTGAATTATACCGAAGACCCTATTACTGCTTATCTGCTCTTCAGTTCCCGTTGAACAACAACTGGCTAGCAGGAGATTAAAAAAAATAATGGAAATGTCGCCTTTCCCATGTCCACCTGGCTGAGCTGTGGGCTAAAATGGCCGGCGCACCTTGCTAACGCTGACCAACTCCTGTCACAGCTGAGAGAGAAACACTTTGATTCAATCCTATTAAATGGAGAAACAGTGACATGGATAGAATGTGCCCATCTGCCCTTATTAGGGAGAGCGACGCCTTTCCTGAATTGCTGTAACCCATTTGCATGGTGACCTTCCGCAGGGGACACAGCTCAGGCAGGGCGGGCGTTTGCTGCAGGACACTGCCCCATCCTGGGAACCTCATCCCGGTGAAACCGATTACCGTTAAATCTGTGGTCTGAAGTTAACACACAGCCTTTCACCGGTTCTGCAGAAATAACTCTCTCCATTTTCTCATTTCCCAATCTCCACAAGATCTGAAGCAGACATTTTTCATCGCTTCGCTGATTTGCTCTGTTAAAAAAATGAAAGAAAGAAAAAGGTGGCTTTCTCTCTCAGTGATGCTTTGATTTCTCTGTTTGCACGTAAGATGCAGTGATAAAGTCCACAGCTTTCGGGGCCAATTTGACCCTTCTAGGTGGAACAATGAGGCTGTTCCCTTCCACTGTGGGTGGGTGCGACGGCAGAGACTGCAGTCTCAGAGCCCCTCTCTGTCACTGTCACACTTTACTGCTCTCTTCCCAGTCTGTCCCCTCGTGTCACCTGATAAACAGACTGTCATAACTGATTATCTCCTGAACAGAAAGAGCCAGGCTCTGAAAGATTTAATTCCTGCATTCTCCTGCCAATGGATCAAGGCAAAGCAGCAAAGTGATGCTGTATATTTTACTTGTCTATGAAATTATAATTCTCTCCTTGATTTCTGCTAAGTGGGTGAAATGGATTGTGGGTAAAGTTGCACAGACTTGCACTGCGCTGCTCATAGTAATGCAAATGAGCTTAATTATTTTGTTAATTAGATGCAGCCTGGTCTAGCTCACACCCAGATGACCAGGGGAGCCAACATTTATGTTTGCCGGGGAAGAAACAAGCTGCTCAGCCCACATGGTGAGAGGCAGCCCAGTGGAGGGTCCCAGACAGGAAGCAGCCGAGATTGGAAGCGTCTCATCCTGTGAAGTTTGTCGTCCTCCTCCCATCTATTTTCAATACCTACCTGTTGGCCTGATGCAAAGCCTGTCCTCACTGGGATTGGGCAGGATATTCCCTGGGCAGCAGTGTCACCCCCATGCTAATGAATGCAGAGGGGGGCACTGATGGCAAAAAATGGTTTATTTTGGTAGGTTTTTGGCCAGCAACATTATTTGCAATTATCTACAGGGGAAGAATACATAAAATAAGAAATATTACTGTCCATCTCCGTGAAAAGTGTTCTCTTCTTAACTCAGTGTTAACTCTGCAGGACTCTAGTAGTAACGGCTTCCAATGATTCCTTAATATTTTAACCCTCTTCCCACTTAATGTGGCTTATTAGGTTTTTGTTTGTGAAAGCAGAATGTCAGTGTATCGAGTGAATAGGTAGAGTGCAAACAAAACAGGCTTCTGCAAGGACAGCCTTCCATACTAGGACCCCAGGCTGCCAGGGCCCCACCGCATTGCTTTCTGTGCCCCTTGGTTGCCAGCTGACAGGGCAGCCCGTGGCCTGATGCGCAGAGGTCCTGGTACTACTAGCTCTTTTAAGTGTCTCAGGGACGACGAAAATAAAGGCCTAATCGAGAAGTTCACAGCAATGCAGCAGGTTTGACCTGCATGGGCCGGCAGTAATTAAACTTGTTTGTGAAAGCTGCCCACGTCAGGGATTAGAGGCTCTTGTCTGTTTAGGGAGGGTAAGGAAACCCTTCAGGATTAATTACCCAAATGTCCCAGTTAGCGCTTTATGTTCAAGCTCGATAATGCGCCTTTTGAACGTGGAGTCCCTCTCTGATGTGTGGAGCCGTGAAATGCTGTAAAAGTTGAAAAGTGAAATATATTTAAGCGCAGAAATAAAGCTCACAGTCATTTGTAATGAAGCTTAATTCTCTTGAATCCTTATCAGATGAGACACCTGTGGCATTTGCCATTCTGCTATTTATATGTGTGATTCTGTTTGTAGGTATGAATTAAATTCTATGTGGGCTTTGGCTGCCTGGTGTTTTAAAGGTTTGATTGATTCCTCCATCTTCTGACTGGTTTTCCTGGTAAGGGGGCCAGTTAACCTTGGACCCCCCAGAGATTTTGTCCTCCTCTGTCAAACTTGGGGTTTGTTCTCCTCCTTTTATGGCTTTTATTCACCACCCATTTATAGTCCTGTTACCTTAAGCTTTTCTGTGTCACTAAGTTTGATTTTTTTCTTCTTCTTGTGAATCGCTTTGGGGCAACTATGTTGGGAAGTATGCACTATAAAATAAATGGAATATGTCACCAAAATGATGATCTCCTGACAGCAAAGGTTTCCTCCAAGTCACAGCTCTGAAGATGGGCATGAATGAGCATTTGTGACAGATTTGACTCACACAGGATTTCTCTGTACGTCTCTGAGACACCAAAAAAAACAATTGCTGTATTCTGTTTTTGGGTATAGGTGTCAGGTTATCTATGATCATCCGCGCCCTGCTGAGCAGGGACGGAGACGGCAGTGCGGCTACATGAGCACGTGACCATCTGTCTAATGAGACTGAACATGGGATGCAGATTCTATGCTGTGTGAAGGTTTTGTCATTCAGCACAAGCAGAGACAGGTAAGAGTAACGTCTTAGGAAAGGAGGAAGATGATTATAGGACTATCATTTCACTCTAGGGTATGTAAGGTGTCACAGTACTATTACTAGCAGTGGTCCTCAGAATCACGGTGAAAATGTACAATGATGTAAACTATATGAAAGCCTTGTGTGAGCAGGATGAAGAACTTTGCAATAGGAAGGAGGATGTTCCAGGGTGTGAGGCTATCGTAACAGGAAAGACCTTTGACTGCCGCCGTTATTCTATATTTGCATGCTAAGATACCCTGAAGTTCAGTAGTAATGATTTTATTAAGCCAAACAGAACTTTGACTAAACTAGCAGCATATGGTGCATAAATGTTAATTTTAAAAAGATATAAATGTTCTAATATGAAAGTCAGATGAGTCAGCAATGTGGTTAATATGCCTTAGTTTGTAAATTTAGACAGTCTGCCTTTAATGAGGGGAAATAATCAGCATGTCTTTGTGAAATCCTCCTCTGTGCCACTTGAGGGTACCTGCTTCTGAGCTCAAAAGCTGGTTTTAAAAGTGACAGAGAGAGAGAAATGAGAATTTCACGTTTGCCAGTGTAACGGGAGCAGAGTCATGCTTAGGCATGGCTAATCTTACCTGCGGACATGTCAAGGATGCAGTGTTATGTAGTATGCTGTGCACTTTGCTGGCATGCTGATGCTCAGCTGCGTGGTTCCACACTGCTGCGTGGTTCCACACTGCTGCGGAAGGCGCTCGTGTGGTGCTGAGAGGTTCTGCCAGATAATGGAGTATCTATGGATGCCTATCTTCTGCTCACAGGCTCATATCACTGGTGATCAAATTATATCTGTTTATTTGGAATGTTAGCTGCCAACAGAGGTTTTTTTTTGTTTTCTTCTTCCAGAAAGTCTTACCAAAAAGTCTTATTCTCACCAGAACCTTCTGGGAATGATGAAGGTCATCAAATCAGAATCCTTCATTCACGCAGGCAAATACAAAACACAAGATGTTTCTTTTGTTACCATCTTGCAGAAAATTAAATTAAGGAAACAAGAAAACAACTGAACCTAAATGTAGTCTTTAAAGATCCCGGTCCATGATTTCTCTGCTGTGGCAGATAGCAGCAGGGAATCTCAACTCGCTTTTTTTGCAAAGCTCTTCTCTTTCGCATTAAATGTACATGGAAATCGTCAAAGCAACTCCACTTCGACACCTATAATAATTTAGTGACATTTACAATGCCGTCGTCTGAGGCCAGCTATGTGCATTTTGGATGGAAATCCTATTCTTTCGCTCCAGGATGGAGATTTACATGCTTTGAGAAGAATTCTAAGCAGTTCCTCTTACCCTCTTGCTACATTTCATGCACTGTGGATGTACAGGGAATGTTAAACCACCTCTGACATTTTAAAGCAAAGACTTTCCTCGCAGTTTGTATTCTTAAAAGAAATGATTGCCTTTGTGTAGTATATCGCTGCACTTGATGGTAGTGAGGACACAGCAGTTCACTCACAGTATGCCTCACGCACAAGGTCTGTAGTGGGTAATTGGTTAACTGTGAGGCAGAGGGTGTGTTTATTTGTTGTTACTGGTCAGTAATATTGTTTCGTCTTCAGAGAGCTTATTCCAGATAAACTGGCCTCCCATCCAAGGTGTCTCCTGCCCTGTGCTTTCTAGGGTAGCTTCCAGGGGTCCACCATGACCCCACAGATGGAAAGGATGGGTACCGTAGTTATAGCAGCTTGACTCAATTATGGCTTTCGCTTCAGATTAGCCATTTAAAATATGCAGGACAGAAGGGTGTGCACCTGTTTGATTCATGGTGACGTAATGTGGAAATAATGAAAAATGGACAAGGGCTGTACAGTGGGTGGATAAAATAAGTGAAAGGAACTTTGAAGTGACTGAATCATAATTAGAAATTAAGATGCGGGGGGAGTAATATTCAGTTGGATGCCGATTAGCAGCCATTAAAGAGGTGACAGCCAGCCCATTGATGGCAAAAGCATCCAAAATGTCAGAACTGCAGGTACGCTGCTCACAAAGACTCTGAGATTACTGAATGTATCAAGGGGAGTCTTGGAAATCACCACGGCGTGTGTCAAACAGATACATATTCCAGAATGAGGTCTGGGTGGGTTTTTGTTTAGGAAACACCAAAGGGTGCTCCTGACCCACAATGTCTGTTGCTAGAGGCAGCCATCTTCGGGGATTGTATGATAGCTCTGTAAAGTTATATGATGGTTAAAGAGCATCTGCCCACTTTCCGGGACCCGGTGTAGACAAGCAGCCAAACTGCCCATGTGGACAAATGCATTTTTCAGTGCCTCGACAAGCAGAGTGTGGCACTTAAAGGGTAACTGATACCAGTCAGTCTGTATGTAGTAACACGGAAGACGGCAGTGCATTAAGCTGGAGCCCAGGGACTCGGATCAATACATGTTAACTGGGAGAGCTCTATTTAAAGAGGAAAACCGGCCTGCTGAGAGGCATGTAGTTCTCATGGCTCCTGGTGTCTGTTTTGGTTTCCGTGTGGTCACACAGAGGTCACATCCAAATCCTCGTTATGCATCCAACTGGAGTGACACTGATTGGGCAAACAGGATTTAATGGCTGCATAGTCCTGCAATGTCACTTTGAGAAATGTTCCATGTTCTGCGCAATAATGCTGACCGTTCCATCTCTCTTTTGGGATGCTTTTGGGTGAAGGACACAAGGTTGACGACTTGTGATGTAGGTCCTGAAAATGACAGCGCTGAGAATGGTCACCGCATGCTTAACGTAAGAGCACAAGGGCAAAGCTTAGCGTCAGGAGCCGGCAAGTGAAGACAGAACGAGTAAATCCTTTCCCTTCATCCGTGATAAATATCACCAGACTGAAGGAAATGTGCATATATGGTGTTCTGATAATTCTCAGCAAGGGCAGGAAGTCTTTGTTACATCATAGTTCACATTAATATCACCCTCCTCTGCTTCACAACATGCAGCTAATTCTAAGCAGTGGCTCATTGTTTATTGCATACAAATTTTTGAAGAAGGCTTAATTACTTCATGAATTTGTTCTATGTTTATTATCCATTTCACATTCCAGAGGATTTATCCAGCACAGGGTCACGGAAATCCTGGAGCTGATCCCAGGCAGTGCAGGGCATGAGGCTGGGAATGAATGGGGTGATGGGATAGAATGCCGATCTGTGGTAGGAAAATAGGTAAGGTATGCCCCGCATGGGATTCTGGTCAATGGCGGGGCACTGGGCAGGGGACGCCCCGCATGGGATTCCGGTCAATGGCGGGGCACTGGGCAGGGGACGCCCCGCATGGGATTCCGGTCAATGGCGGGGCACTGGGCAGGGGACGCCCCGCAAGC